GATGGTCATCATTCAGAAGACTCGTTGCACTATGAGGGACGTGCTTTGGATATCACCACATCAGACAGGTAGGAATGCATTTTGTGGTGGGAATAGCCCATTTCGACCAGTTATAATTGACACTGCTTATAGTAGGTCACTCAGTCAGTCAATCTATCAGTAATGTCATGAGTCAACCAACTATTCAGTGTTGTGTTTAAAGGTATTACAATGTAAAAATAATGTTTGAATGTCATTTGGAACATTTATGTTTTCTGTGCTTTTTGGAGAAATATGCAGTCAAACTCTGATTGAATTACATTAGGAGTTTACAATATATTTTGGTATTTTTATTTACAGGGACAGAAACAAGTATGGCATGTTGGCCCGGCTGGCAGTAGAAGCTGGATTTGACTGGGTCTACTACGAGTCCAAAGCCCACATTCACTGTAGCGTTAAGTCAGGTAAGATGGAACTGCTTTGTGTGTGTGTGTGTGTGTGTGTGTGTGTGTGTTTGTTTGTTTGTGTACGGCCTATTGGGAGCCAATCAAAGCAGGGTGTTGCACCTGTGCTCTCTTCTTGATCTCATCGTAAAGTGATCATTCTTTGTGATCGCACATTAGAAAGCTGTATGATTCGCAGATGAGGCTAGTGTAAAATTGATATTTTTGACATGGATGTAAACTATACTATGTGTAGTGTTAGGACAGAACATTCACTTATATAAAATAAATGGAACAGATAACATCTATTGTATATTTGACATTTTATCTGCCTCGCTTTTTATGCATTCCAATAATAGAGCCTTTTATTTTATCAAATGTTATTTCAAATCAGATACAGCCCTTAAGCAAACAATACTTGACCGCATTCCACCTCAAGCCATTCTAACCTGGGACATTTTAGAAACCCATTTACCCATGTCTAGTACTACCAGTTATTTGATGCCAAACTACATTCTAGCAGTCCATTGAGGTTAGAAGCTGTGAGATGATTAACTCTCCCTTTGTTTTGCTGTTGCTTTTCCTTCAGTAGGGTTCTCTCAGATCTCTTATCTAAGTCTTATCACCTCCCAGTCAAAGACCTCCTTCTCTGCAGCCCTCTGGCTTACAGAAACACACACCTTAGACAAATATTTGGCTGCTTTAAGACTGCTTTAACACAACCCTCCTTACACACACACACACACACACACACACGCACGCACGCACGCACGCACGCGCACACACGCACGCACGCACGCACGCACACACGCACACACACACACACACACAGACAGACAGACAGACAGACAGACAGACAGACAGACAGACAGACAGACAGACAGACAGACAGACACACACACATTCTTTCTTATTTAAAAAGATGTTGCCGTCAGTAAGGAATCAGCCTCATTACAATGTGCCAGTGCTCATTCTTGTGTGGAACCATTGGGAACGGTTTAAAGCACAACCTCTGCTGTAATCCAAACAACATCTAGACCCAGGTCTGAGTCTGTGTACCTTCCTGTTTCCCTGACCCCGGGCCGTGCTCAGACTGTGGTGATACAATCAGCTGGTTATCCATTAGCTCTCGCTGACTACCTCTTCTTGCCACCTCGTCTCACTGCGTCTTAAAGGGCCACCTTATACAGATTTACTCCGGATCAAATGTACATACTGGCCTGTCTTGGGCAGACAAGTGCTATACAGTACATGTGATAGTATAGTGAGGGGTCAAACTTCACATACCAGGAGTGCTTCCTTTTGACAATAGTTGCTTTATTATTCATTATACATTCTTCCGACCCCACCCCACACACAAACCAGTTGAAAGAGTTTTTCAAAGTATTCAAAAATAACATTTATTTCATTATAGTATAGTCGTAAATCAAATTAATTGTGGATGCATTTACACATATTCTTCTTAAGAGAGAGGGACTGAGGCAGACAGGAAAGCCAGGGTTTGAACATGAGTCACATTATATACATATGCTAACAATCTCCCGCTGATCCACTGAGATAAAGTTGTCCTTGGGTCAGTGTCAAAGTCTGGCCTGCTTTATAGATCACTCAGTGACCTACAACTGTTAGAACAATGTGCAGATGAAGCCGCTGTAGGGGTCCAAGTGCTGCTGTGCTTTTGCTCTTTTCGTAAGAGAAATTATCTTTTTTGTTTTTCTTTATTCTTCATAGACGTTAACACAAAGTTAAATCCAATAATCGATTTTTATTTTTGTATTTCTCCAGAACATTCTGTTGCCGCCAAAACCGGTGGCTGTTTCCCTGGCGATGCTCAGGTTATCCTCCAGGGCGGGGCTACTAAACAGATGCGTGACCTTCTCCCTGGTGACCGAGTCTTGGCCTCTTCAACGACAGATGGTCACGGCTCCCTGCTCTACAGTCCGGTCCTGTCCTTCCTGGACCACCAGCCCAACATCACAAAGATCTTTTACATCATTGGCACCAACAGAGGACTTAATATTACTCTCACAGCCGCTCACCTGATCTTTGTCACAGACTGCAGTGGTGAGCAGAGTGAGCCAAAGTGGGACAAGACAGCTGATGGGCCGCCACTAAAGGGCTCCATACAAAAGGACAGACCTCGCTGGGAAGCAGATCTGAGGACAGTGTTTGCCAGTGAAGTCCAGCCTGGACAGTGTGTACTTATATCACAAGGGAAAGTGGGCTCACATGCAGAACTTTCTGTAGTGAACTTTGTAGAAGAACAGAGGAACACCGGGCTGTATGCCCCACTAACCCAGCATGGCTCCATAGTGGTGAATGGTGTGCTAGCATCCTGCTATGCGGCTGTGGACAATCACCATTTGGCCCACTGGGCCCTTGCCCCACTGAGGGTCTTCTACAGCCTGATCGGACCCTCAGAACCTCAGACTGATGGCCTGCACTGGTACACTTGGCTTCTACAGAGGCTGGGGCAAATGCTATTGGGTGCTGGACACTTCCACCCCTTGGGGATCGAGCAAGCACAAAGATAGGAGCCACAGTGACATGGTACACTCTGATGACCTCTTTCACTTATTCAGGAGAAACAAAGCACAGATCAAGAATCATCAACAATTGGTTTTTACTTTACTTGCCTGTATTTGCTAAACATCAACAAACTCCTAATTGTCGTACATGTAATTGTGCAAAAGACTTTTACTTTGGGAAATTTAGGTTTCCTTCATTCCAAATGATTTAGATGACTGGAATGACAATCAAATTCCGTTCAAAAAAGGAAAAAAGGAGGAAGTGAAGACAATCAAGTTTCATTATTCCTTTGTACTGTATTTCATGTCCTACAATGTGTGAGATCACGCTTGGGTTTACTGATATAATAAGAGAACATTTTATGCATTTCACACATTTTTGGAACACCAAGATTCATAGAAAAAATGAAGGAAACATTTGAGGAGGAATGAAGAACATTGAGAAACCTAGTGACTGAACTAGGTGTGATTTGAAGCTCTATATGTACATAGGTATTTATTCTTTTAGGAATTGTTCAAATGTTCTGTCAGAATCATTCCTGAAGTCAATCCTCAGATTTTTTTTTACTTCTATTTTATCGAGCCGATACTGTATATTATAATTAATTTCCAAAATAATATTTAACTGGACCATGATGGAGGAAGTTCTGTGTATTTAAATGACAGAAAAATGATAATGGACACTGTGTGTATACTTACCAATGCAAGGCAAATGCATGGGTTAATAATGGACATGCTGTCAATCTGTTTTTCAAAGTATTTCATCTGCTTCATTATCTCAAAGGATTCATGTGGTTCATCTATACATCTTCATGTTTTTTTTTATCAGTTCTTTTATTTAAAATGTATTTTGTGACATGTTTTCATTATTTCAGGTTTTCAATTTCCGGTCAGTAGTATCTACTTAAGTTATACACAACACTCAGGCTGTATTCAACTACTGTATTAAGCAACAGCTGCATAATATTAAATTACAGATAGTTACTTGATAACTCTCCTTTGCATTGATTTATTTTGTATTCCACCCATCACAATATACGTAAGACCTAGATTCGCAAAGGTACAGCAATTCTGTTGTTGTAGTCAGCAGATGTGATGGATGGCTGAATGACAATTAATGTTTTTATATTACTATATTATGAGTGTTTGTTCAGGTTGTCACTTATTGAGCATATAAACTCAAACGTTGCTATCTAGGAGCTCCAAGGCGTTTCTCTATATGCCTTCTTAAAAACATTTGTCACATATGTATATTAAGCTATTGCTGGAGAGAATATTTAAAGATCTATTTTTTAGAAAATAATGTAAACTATTATTATTATTTGGCAACTCTGTTCATACAATTTGTATATGAAACATAAAGTTGTTGTTTTTAAACCCAATCTACTCTGTGCTTTATTTAATGGCAACATATTTATTAAAGATCTTACAGCATACATCATGAATACTGTTTACTCTATGTTATAAAGTCTTTATTTACTTAACGCTTGTTCTGACAGACAGGCCTGGGATTTATTTTTCTTCAGAAACACCAATGAGATAGCAGCTCTGTTTTGGACATGTGCTGATACTCATCTGTTACATGTTGATACGTGAAGCGCAATAAAAGTGAGCAATCGCTGTAAATAGTCATGAATTGCAACAGCTTGCACATTGTGAATGCAGCCTGTGGTTACAGGGTGGGCTGCTGCTTGGTTTCAGTACCACGGACAGCAGCACACAGTAACAACTCCTCTTTCATCCTCATGATGCCTGCATGCTTTTCTCCTTTTTTATTTTGGGTGGAGAGTAAGTCATTGAACACAGCACACCCTGCTGGATGCTTCAGTGTATGTATAGAAGACCTGGGTTGCGGTCAAATTGTCCAAAAATCAATGTCTTTTCCTAACCACTATTCCTTGACCTCTGAGTGAAACGTCACAGGATTAAGGAATAGTGGTTAGGATCATTCAAAAGGACTTAGGAAAAGACGACGAGGTTTCAAGAGAATCCGACTGCACTGACATCCGTTAGAAACCTTCTGAAAGTAGAACAAATAAATAAACCAAAGTAGATTCTATTTAATCTTTATTATTATTGGTCAGTTAGGTACAGGAAAAACCTTTTTGTCATATCCCATATCTCATCACAGGACACTTCATTATCCATACAGACAATAGAGAACCAGACCCAGATGAAACGCTCACCAAATTACATATGTTTAAAAATAAAAAATATGAAAGTGGTTAACCTAAATGTGCAGGTGATGTTCTCACATGTGAGGCTTCTTCAAATACATATGAAAAAATCATGCACATCTTAAGTTGTTTAAATACTGAAAACCATTACAAAAATGTGTCCATCTGAGTCTGGTGGTTTGTAGATGTTCTCTGTGTCCTGTCTCCATGTAATCATGTTTAGGTCTGTTTGGACCACGATACCCTGGAGACATTTTGAGGCAAGGCTGATGGATCACAGGCAATTATAATCAGGACTGATTTGAGAGGGAACGGTGGAAAAACACACATTATATATAACCACCCAGCCTCACTCTATTTAGAATAGCAAAATAAATAATACAAAATGAAGAAATTGCCTGTTTCAGCTGCCTCAAAAGTGACCAAAGTATCATCGTCTTAAATTAAGGGTGTTCACACAACAACACATGGGAATTCAGCATGCTCACAGTAACTCACATACAGATATGAATGTTTTTATAGAATATGTATCTGTCATCACAGCTTGGCAAAATTACACTTATACACAACAAATGCACAATAACACCTGGAACCATAATACCAGCCATTGGAAAAAGACCCAAATACGTTTGGGTTGGTCCAAAACTTCCAGCAAAACGAACTACCTCATTCCCTGGTAGGTGGTGGTGATATTGTTCAATAACAATAGCCTATAGATAAAGAATTGATGTTTTCAAACAACCCGTAAACACACACATACAACCGCACACAACCATTTTCTCGCACACTTATTAACAACATCATGAGCATCTCTTCTGAGTCAGTGACTGGATGCATGTGAGATTGTTTCGATGACCTACAGTAAGCGGCAATGTTGAGAGCAGTAAACCTGACAGAAGTACAAAACACTCCATAACATCCTACAGTAAGTTGGCAATTATGTTGACATATATATTAGGCTATATGTAATCATTGCTTGGCAGCATACAAAAATAAAAGAAGTTGCTCTGGTGCATATTCTGAATCATCTGCATTTGAGTTAGGGTGTCTCAATGCAAATGGAAGGATTTGTTTTCGGCACATTTTTCAAATGAGGCTGGCTCAGTTTATATATATTTGATTAGCTTTAAGGTGGACCATATCTGCCTTACTATTATACTACCAGTAGCAGCGTCTTTTTCTTGTCGTTTTTTTGTCCAGCTTTTAAGCGAGCCAGGCTAATGCATATTTGGAATCCCTTGTGAAAAAAAATCCTTGAAAATATTTGTTTACATGCCCACTCAACACAACTTCACACAAGTTCAAGCAACAAGGATTGAAAAAACATGACTGTCAAAGATGGAACCAGTTGTTTTTTTTCTACTCTATAGGGCTCTGTAAAAAGTATTTTTGTTGGAATTGTAAAGCATTTTAAATTGAATTCCTGCTGTCTTTAAGTAGATTGATGCCAGTTAAATGCATTGGTTTGGATTTTAACAACAGGTTTATAATCTATCACTATTCGATCTAAACCAAGACAACAACAAGGGGCCCATGTTCTAATGTTTCACGGGTAGATAATTAAATTAGGAATAAAACAAGGGCTGAATGTGTCCAACAGGCATTGTGACAGCAGCAGAGCCCCAGGACTAATTAGAGGGATTGTGGATCATTAAACAAGAAAGACTGGCATCTGAGATGTTTACCAGCCTGCTGCATGTAGCACATGGACATGTGTAAGAGAAATAAACGACAATTGATGGCTACACATGTGGCTAAAACAGGCCATTGCCAAAAATAGAAATGTGTTTCAACAACCCACTCTCATTAATGAGCGGCTAAATTCAGTCCCTGCTGTTGATGAGATTGCAAATGTTGTCACTTAGAACAATTTAGGGGAAATTGCCAGCTAGGATATGTGTTTACTTTTCAACTCTCCTTGGGGAACGTTTCTAAGCAGGACTCAGCTCAACTTTCTGTCAGCCTGGCTTACAACTACAATAACTACATGTTTCACTCTAAGGGATACTTTGCTACACTTGGCGTTGACTTCATAATTTTACACTGTTCTCTCAGTATCAGATGAACAAAAGCACCGCTCAAAAGACATTTTCTCTGTTGTGTCGGTGAAACAGGTCTTGGAAAGTTAATGATGAGACATGACTAAGAATAAAACGACATGAGGCAATTGCAGCAGTAGCCATTGCAGAGGCAACAATCCCTGCATCTATCTTGCGTGATCGGGATTCTCGAATCAATTCCGCCGGTGTGGTGTAGCAAAAGCAAGACAACAAAGAGGGGAACCAGTGAAATGGCCACTTCTGTAACTGTCATTTTGGCAGAAATCCACAGAAATGCCAAGGTCCACTTTTAGCACAGTGTAGCAGACCTTAGAAATGCACGATTTCAGCCAGGGCTGTGACAGCTCTGCTTCTATGGCCAAAGTCCTAGGAAAGGTAATATCGGGGCAAGAAAGGATAAGAAAGATTGAGGCAAGAGAAAGACAGATATGAAAAGGAAGCTGGAATGACGTCCTGTCCTCCTTCTTCACAGCCTCTGGGTGAAGTTCTCAGGGAATACTCCTTTAGCGGCATTTTCTTTGTTCTGCTTCCAGTCGTCCTCCTTCATTCCCATCAGCCACCCATCATCCTTAAAACACACACATCATGAATGAATGGTGTGTGTGTGTGTGTGTGTGTGTGTGTGTGTGTGTGTGTGTGTGTGTGTGTGTGTGTGTGTGTGTGTGTGTGTGTGTGTGTGTGAGTGTGAGTCTGTGTTTGTACCTGTTCATCAGGGTTTTCAAAGGAGATGACCAACACCACATCACCAGTCTTCATCTCCAGTTCGTCTGTGTCATTGGCAGCATAATCATGCATCACCAGGAGCTATATCACATAAATACTAGCATTAATGAAATCCATATATTCTGTATATATAAAAGATATGTTTGGGTTAAGTTAATGTTCGGCACTATTGAGATTTTTTCAATCTTGTATCCTGTTTTACCTTGAACAAAAAGCCAGGTGGAATGTCTTTGGGCTCTGATGCAACTTCTGTTGATGGTGCCGCTACTTCAGGCGTCTAGTAAAACAGAGGGCCTATTAACTGACATGTAGTGCACACTGAAAACACTTTCATCTTTTCTATGGGGAGAAATAATATCCCTCCGAAAGTCTACTTTTTTAAAAAGAGGATTTCACAAGAATATAGCAGCAGAATGTTCTAAAAAAAAAGGTCTGTAAATTGAAACTGCTGGAAACAGGATAATTTCAGAAAAGGCTTGAGGTTTAAATGTACTGGAAAAAGCATAAAATAAATAATGGTTTCAATTAAATGTAATGTGATGTCACAACATTTCCAGTACAGTTATTTTTTCCAATAATAAATGCAAACATAATGGATGAGATTGCTTGTAAATGAGATAACGAAGGATGCCATTCAGTCATACAAAGAAATGTTTAGTGGTTGTGTATGAATGGGTGTACAATTTGTAATACAACAATATATAATGTAACAATATGATTGACATCCAATGCTACATAATTATAATGATATCTGTCATTTTGCAATAAAAACACATTGGAACAGGTATTGAATGTTACAGTAGTTCCATTTTACATACCCCCTCTGCCGGGGCTTCCTCCTCTGGTGCTGCAGCAGCTGCTGCAGATTCACCCTGGGAGCAGAGAGACAAAGACAATACCAGAGAATGAGACTGGTGACATATTGAAACAAGGAGGAGGATAGAATGGAAGAAAGCAGAACAGACAGACAAGACAAAGACAGACAGAAAGGACAGGCCACACAGCCTAAACAGCAAAGTCCTGACTAATACAAGCAAGTATGTTGAATAGACGTTAAGCTTGGATACTAATGCAGAATTTCAGTATAGTTAAAGTGTTTGCCCAGAGTACTATGTGTGCGTGGATTAGTGATAAGCAGTGACTGGGATTAGTTGTGTGTATTGAGAAGCAGATGTATACACTAATCTCTTTCCCTCAGCAAATAATTTCCAACTTGCCCTTTGTCACAGTTAATGCATCCATGCTGCTGTTCCAGATGCATTCTAATGTTTTCTATCTCAAGATTTCTCCATCTTTCATCCACAATGTATATATCTACTATCTGTTTCTTTCCAGCACCCCATGCTCAAACCTCCTACTCCAAAAATCGATGCATCCACCATTTTTCGTCCGGATGCATCTCTCAATTTTTCTCTCTCCGGTTACCTGACCCTCTTCATCATCCACTGCAGCAGCAGCAGGTGTGGCTTCTTCCTCAGCCGCGTCAATGGGAGACTCAGCTGCCGGTGTTTGCGGGGGTGCCACCTCCTCCGGGGGGGCCACCTCCTCCAGAGGGGTCACCTCCACCGGGGGGGCCACCTCCTCTGTGGGGCCACCGTCGTCGCCCCAGTCCTCCTGGGCTTCAGCCTCAGGATAGTTATTAGCCTCATCCCCCCCTACCTCCTCAACCGGAGCCACGGGGTCAATGCGAACTGGAACTGTTCCGTCGTCCCCCCAGCCGTCTTGGGCAGCTGCTATGGGGTCATACCGGACAGGCTGCGCGCCATCATCCCCCCAGGCATTTACAGCAGCAATGACTGGGTCAAAGTGCGGCTCGACGTATTCTTCCTGGGCATCACTCTCCTCATGCTGAGCGGCAAGGGTCAGGTTTCAAGGGGGCAGAGGTCAAAAGAGATATTTAACCAAATGGTTGAAGACATTTTAAGGGACGGAAAGGCAAGGTATACGGGAGATTTAAGGCCAGATTTAAGGGTTTAGCATTTCAAATGATAAAAGGATTGGAAATAAGCAATACAAGAAAAAAGGGTAGGGCCAGAGTTACAAAATGGGTTAAGGGATATTTTTGATCAACAATAGATTAGGAAATTGACAGAGATATTAAAGGGATGATAAAGGGGTGCATATAGGCTAAGTATCCATATCGTGCTGTTTTTAGCGCCAGTATCTTTTGCTAATTGTTCCCAAAGAGGAGAGAGCGTATGGAACCACTTAGAAAAGCGCTGCAGGTGTTGTCACTCCTTCTTTTCAGACTAAACATGTAATACATCCGATTGATGCGCATGGTGAAAAAATAAAAAGATTAAATAAAATGCAAAGGGGAAATGCTAATCTATCATACAACGCCAGCAACAATGCCGATATGTTGTGAAAATAGTTTTCTAGAAAAAGGAAACCCACACAACCCAACACCAAAAGCACTTTTCTACAGGAAGAAAAAAAACACTATATGGACACGCACCCTTAATGTTGAGTTGTCATAAGGACAGATAATGTATTCAAAATGTAAAGTAGCTTAAAAGGACCATACTGGTGATTCTGTGTGCTTCAGCCCATTAACTAATCATTTTTGTATGCTTAATCTTCAAGCTAAGCCGTTAGCCCCTACCAAGGCAGTTAACATGGTAAGCATTAAACATGCTAATCATCAGCATGGTAGCATTTGTATTGTTAGCATGTTAGCATGGTGTAAGCATTTCACTCAAAGCACCACTGTTTTGAAAATGGTTGTCAGGTAATGTTGTAGGTTGTAGGTAATGGCTGATTAGTTAAAGAGCAAAAACCTAGTAAACCAGTAGAATGGCCTTTTAAAAGATTTAAACATGGATACGGGTCAGGGAGATGGCATGAAGCATTATTTAGGTTGATATTTTTAAAGAGAAAATAAGGGAATACGGAACAGTTTTGCTACATACTGTATGAGCTGAACCAGGCCATGAAAGATGCTAATTGACATTGATGGGAGGAGTTCAGCAGAAAGTGATCATCATCACCATCATCATAATCATGAGACCCAAGAAGAATGATGTAGGATAAACCTTTACAGAGAAGGTTCAGGTTAAAAAAAAAGAAAGACAGATGAAGATAAGGAAGGGTGGCAGCAGAAGGCAGAAACGCAAACACTGTCAGCCTTTTCCCATCAGAAAATAGATGTCGGATCTTCTGCGTGTAGTTTGCAGGTTTATATTCCCACGGCTATGTTCAGATGGAGAAAGAGGAAGGAAGCTTTGTAAGAGTAGAAGTGTCATTCCTTTCTGAGCTATCACTGCTTTGCCTCAAGCTCTGATACAGCAGAGTTGTATGTTTGTTGAGACACGTCTCTCTTACAGGAATAGGGATGAACGGAAAGGTTAGTTAATGGTCGGAATGTCACAAGGCTTTGTGAAGTTGCCCACTAGCCCTTATGAGTTTACCAGTCTCATTTCCATGAAACGATCCAGTGAGAACATGGGCAACTTCACTCAACTTTCAGAACAAAACCATTCCCTGTGTGTCACATGGAGCATGGAGCTATCATGTAAAGGCTGTACATGTACTGCGACATGTAAACACACAGGAAGGAGGGGGAACAGAAAGAAAGGAGGTTGATTCAGTTACAAATCATTTCACAAAGAGCTTTTAAATGTATAATTACATTTATGCTAAGGGTGTGTGATTTGTGTTATCTTTTATCAGTGGTGTCTCACAATAAATAATGTATTCTGTTTACATACTGTGCCTTCCAAACCTATAGTAATGTGAAAGAGAGAGCTCCTAAAAGAGGATTGCACATCAGACACCATTTGTGTTTAATTTCATAAATTAAATATACTGATTATAACAATGTAAAATGTCAATTTGAAACTGAATTGACCCGAGCTCATTCCCAGGTTCTATTTGTGCTGTACAACAATCACTTCAGTGTTTAGTGTTATCACATCAAAGCACTGCAGACACAAAGATGACGCACAAACAGATTTGGAACGGACAAATGATAGAGATACATTCAGGAAAAGCTTCTTTCTATAGAGTAGTCGCCATTATAGAAGTCCCTGCTAAGCATGTTGTGCCTGTGCCAGCCAGCACAGGGACCCTGGGGCTTGTATAATGGCTACATTAGTAGTAAATGTAAGCAAGGACACACAAATGAATGGTAGTATGAAATCAAATGAGAGTATGCTGATGAAGATGATGATCATAATGATTATTATATATTTTGCACATGAAGAACACAAGTAGGATGAGGATGATATGCTTACCCATGAGTCCCAGTTTGCAGGCTTTGAAAAAACAGAAGATGCAACACATTAATAACTAAATTGTGTTTTAAAGTAGATATTCTAGTTGCAATACCCATGCTCCAAAGCTACAAGCCCAGAGCAACAGATCTCCAGCAGAACAGGAAAGCAGAGAATCGGTTTAATAAGTAAAGATTGAAGTAATAAATGCAAAGAGGGGCCACTGTCATATGTTTATTGGACATGCCACCCACAGAGTGAGTCAAATGTGGGAGAAAATGCATTAAGAAAACCTTTGTAGTCTAATTTATTGTTTAAATTAGCTGTTGCACATGAAAATGTCAAAGAGTCAACACAAAACCCCATTTTTGTCATTGTCATGTGACAGCCTTGAACATTTTAGTCAGGGGTTGTTTACTGAACTCTATGTACTCTATATTCAAGAACACTTGAACGATAACAGGTCAATTGTGAATGATACATGTGTTTATGTTAGTGCTTTAATGCTGTAAATCGAATGAATCACTTCACTACATACAGAAATATCACAACCACAAAAGATCCAGACGTTGTCATCTATCTATCTCCAGGACGTTCTGCTCTGATTAGGGTCACTTTGCTCTGTTAACTACTGATTGGGTCATGGAACACAGTAGGCCACAAACCATTAATCTATCAGGTATAATAATGCTTAAAGAAAACCAAACCTGGATCAAACAACAGCTGAACATATCTTAGGTAAAATAACACAAAGTGTACTTCTTTATCTGACTTTCTAAGTATCGTAAGTAACTGTTTGTTTCCCATCTGTATGCTAAACGTATGTCCTTCCAGTATCTAAACCCACATTCTGTAGTGCAGTTTGGAAGAGAGAGAAGTAAGAGCAGAGCAGGGCTGTAGTCTTCATGCCATGACTGGTCTGTGGATAGAGCTGAAGCAGGAAGAAGTGGTCACTAAAAGCAGGTTTCTACAGATCGTCATGCCAACCTCTACCTCTTGTTTAGTCAATTAGAAAGCCAGCAACACCTCAAACTATGCCAAGCTTACTAAGTGATTTTAAATATGTATCCAGTCTAATCAAGCTTGTTTCAATATATTTAAAGTCAAACATTGCACCGGAACTGGAAATGTTGTTGGCTAAAAGAAAACGTTATCATCAATACCAATAAAACAATGACTTTAAAACATTTCTGAATACAAAATCAAATCTCTTGTGAAGCTTGGCTTTTCTTGCAGAGGAGGGTCTCTGCAACCTATATGTGCGTGCTGTAAATGATCCACCTGTGTGACCGTGGAGGCTTTGGTTGTTGCACTGAAAGAGTCCGGGTCCATGTCCAGCAGGCTGCTCGCTGCAGGACTGTCACACTGATAACAACAGAAACACGAGGGCTCATTGGCTAACTGAGCGCACAGAGGGTCAAGAGACAGGCACACGAGATGGCAAAGAAGAATCAAATAGGATGGAATAGAATAGATTGGAATAGATCAGAAAATAATAAATTAGAATAGAAGTAATATAATGGAATGGTAAAGTATAGAGTATGGTGGGATAAAAAACAGTATGGTGTGGAATAGATTAGAAACTAATAGAATATGGGATAGAATGGAAGCAAAAAGAATAGAATAGAATCAGATAGAATAGCAGACGTAGAAGGAGGGCCAGACTCTGACCTGTGCTGGAGAGTTACAAGTTAAAAGGCTGTCTGTTTGTAGACAGCAGCCGCTCACTCACCTCTGTAGGGGAGGTGACGCTGATATCAGGAGCCGCTGCAGCATCAAACATGCTGATGATGTTCTCTGTTTTCAACTCCTTACAGGGGGTCACCTTGGGGGGAGGAGGCATTGCAGGCCTCAGCTGAAACAGAGAGAGAGAGAGAGGCTCAAATTCGGTCTGCATTTTAGGATGGTTTAAGATATTTCAATGTATTTATTTCAAAGTTTACACCGGAAGAAAATGTATCACATCTATTTCAAGAGTCCCAGTTGCTCAGGGGAGGGAAGTGAATCAAAAGTGATTAGAAGTATGTTGTTTAATGTTTCTAAATTATTAGACAGTATGCTGGAGTGTGTTTGTTGTTTTCCAAAATTAGATTTAAAAATCTCAAACTCAGAAGACAAACATGTTCATGTGTCATAGCAGGAAGAGCACAGAAGTAACTGGTTATATCTCCTACATTAAAAGCATCCCACATTTCTGTTCTGAGTCACACCTGTGTTAAGAAAATAATTCAGACACAACGCCAAATAAAGAGACAGCCTCAGTCTGTTTGTTGAAGTTTGTTTACCTTGGATGGGGATTTGGGGATTGGCGGTGGTCCTCCAGGCCTGAGACTGTGGTTAGCTGCTTCTTTCCCACTCGCACTGAGTAAAGGAGAGAGATAGAAAAGACAGACGGATTACAGAGAAAGTAACAAGGAAGGCAAACGCTGTGAGAGAAAGGTCGAGCAAAGGTTGAAAGATGCCGCTAAAAGCTACCACAACTTGAGAGGTGACGAGGCATGCTGTACAAGGGTCTGAACAAAAGCTGTTGTTGCAAGAGCTTTCATGCAAAAAGTGAGTCTTCCGTCCTCTCGTTTCCTCCCTCCATCCCATGCAAGCAGGCTTTGTCGGTGCTTCGAGTAAATCCTCACAAGCGCTCAGTGTTAGAAGCATTCACTGTGATATTACTATATTCTAAAGCTGGCAAAACAGCCCCAGAAAATAAGAGTTGAAAAACCTCAAATGTAATGCTAGACCAGGCAATTCTGTATATCGGACTGTTCAAATCGCAGGAGGTAAAAACTCAAGAGGGTACAATTTAGTCTCGTGGTTTGTTATTAGCAGGTTTATGTTCATTAAGAAATAACAGACGAAGTGAAACAGAGGGTTTAGACTTGGGACCAAGAAACTGATTTACTGTAGGTCACTTGGCCGCCTAGTGTGTTCACCCAGCCATGTATATTACTACTCAGTACCTTGGGTATTAGAGTTGTATTGTTGCGTAACAGTGTTGCCAGGTGCAGCGTTTAACATGCAGTTTTGCTCAACTCTTATATCTGGGTGCACAGCTCTACCATCTGTGTTTCTGTGAATTCACGTCACAACGAAGCACTACTTCTCCTTCAAACCTGCAGACTGACTGACAGACAGACAGCTGGACAGACAGGTCAGTCGGACAGACAGACAACAGTTGTGTCACCATGGTTACCACAGTGGCTGTAGGTTACCTCCTATTTGTTCCTGACGATGAGGCGCCGCGGGATTCTGTCTTTCTGAAAGGGGGGTTCAGGGATGGCTCCAGGTTAATGCATGCCTCATTGTTTGTGTATTCCTGTAGCTTAACATGTTTTTAAGAATGATGTTTTGATCCATATGTTTTGTATGTGATTGTTAGAAATAACATAACCGCGTAGTTCACTGCTGATTCAACTTCCAATGCAGCACAGTGTATTCATAAGGCACGATGAATTGTGTGCTCTCAAGAAGTTTAAATATTTGCGTACATTTCTGAAAAGATATTTGCCCATTTCTAGAAGGTGCCATAAATATGCAACCAAGCAAGTATTTTCTTTGGTGGCTGATGACTAACCGGTCAGTGATTGACTGATGAGGCTCAGCGTTTCACACAAACACATGTGTTCAGGCAGACTAGGGATATGTTGGAATTGCCCAAATGTAACTGGGTTTTCACCTTAGGGCGATATTTACAAAATATCTCAGTACTTTTGAGTACTGAATAGCATCACTGTTACCTGAACATGTGCTGATATTCATAGATTATATTGAATACCTACGTATATGCTGAAAATATACCTTGCTGCTTTATTTTGTGAATCTCTTCAGAATTGATATGTTGGATGTTTAAGGAACCAACCTGCTTGCTGCCTCTGTGCCTCTATCCTCCAAAGTATCCAAGACGTCATACAAATCCTGATCCAACTGTAGAGGGGGAAAGACGATGGGTTAGATATAACAATACCTACATTACATCCTCATCGTCCTACACTTTTGTGGCACGATCAATGCACATTCTTTGAGAAAAATCATGACAATGTGTTTTCTGCTCTTCTGGCTCTGTAATATCATCTTCTAGATTCTGCAAAGTGTGAATGTCTGCCACGGCTTGTTTGCATCATCATGTCCAAATTCAGATAGAAACCATAGAAAATAATCTCTCTGCATTCAGTTAAAACCCAATGTCTGCAATATGTTTTTTTTAGATTAATTTGCTGATGTTGTTTAATAGTGCACTGTTGACATTCTTCATCAACTGTTATCTGGCGTAACAAGTCAATGTGTGTTTCCCAGTGTTTATCTAAATCCAGCATTAGCAGAGGTCTATACACAAGACTCACCCGGCCGATTTCCTTGTGAAACTTCTCCTCAAAACCAGACAAACTCTGAAAGGTGCTGACATAAAACCCGACACGACTAAAAAGGGAGAAGAAGAAAGGGAGAAAGTCAGTATTGATTGCATGATTGTCTTGACTTAGTTTAACAGCGTGTAATGGTAAGCAATGCAACATGGATGTAAGTGAAATGTAATTACAGCGTCCATCTATCAGCGGGAGAATCAATTTCTCCAGACACTCATACACACGTACGCACCTGTTCCAGAGTGAAGGTAATTCCTCTTGCAAGTCAATATTAATCTCCTCAAACACCTTCTGGGCTCTATCCAACTCTTCTTCAGCCTGAAACAAACAAACAAACAAACACACACACAGTTACATACCACTGTATATGTTTGTGTGTGTAGCATTCCCTAACATTCTTCAACATGGTTTGTCTCAAGTTGTTATCGCATTTTTATGTTACCTTCATACATATATGACAGTACTGTAGCAAATGGCAGGAATAGAAAGTAATGAAAGATTGTTGTGTACCTGGCTCCTGGACAGACTGCTCTGGGCAACATTGTGTGCAGACAAGATACCCTGAGCCCAACCTGGAGTGGCCCTCTCCAACAAGGACGACGGCTGGAAGAAAAACCAAGAAAACAACATGGAAAAAGTGATATTTATATTTATATAATTGCACATAGTGCCAGGTTTTAAAATGAGTTTACCTTGGTGATTTTAATGCCCCCGTCCTTTTTCTTGGTCTTGTGTGTGGTAGCATAGTTGTGCCTGGCACTGTCGTAATCCACCAGCTTCCTGTCCCTCTTAGCTATACGTGACTGAGCAGAAAAGGGCAGAGCACATAGTCGTGTTACGTGTCTTCACCTGCAAGGAACCGTCTGTTTTCATCTTCCAAACATTCACTTGTTTCTCAGCACTAATATTGGGTTAACATTTATGGACCACACAGCTTACCTTGATATCAGGGAACTGGCCCAGGTAGGTATCCATGGAGATGAGGGCATGATCGACCAACTTCTGATGGTAGTCAGTCCACAGCACATCGCAGTCCTGTAGCATGGATGGACATAATTGTACCATACACACAATGAGAGATTAAAGAGGATACATTGGGTTCGCTCTTTTATTAACAGGCTGTTATTGCGTGTTTTAAGGTCGCATTATGCCCCCCTGGATGTATTTGTCCACCATTTTTGATTACATTCCAGTAGCTCTGTTGCCAAATCTTGGCTCATGGTTCGTTATCTAAATTAAGAACGGCATTAAAACCCTTTTTACTGATTGCAGAATCTTGTAGCAGCTAGCTCGTGGGAGATTTGTCGCATTAGAACCATTAACCAAAATGTCATTTCAATTGTAATATACTTAAAAGCGTCGGAGGAAAATCTAAAGAGCTACTCAACATTTATCACAAGAGATTGTAATGTATAATTTGGCTCTTTCTGCCAAGAGGACACAATCTCACACTGAGTAAAAATTGTCTCTAAAGAGAGCCATGCACACACACACACAAACAGACACACACACACACACACACACACACACACACACACACACACACACACACACACACACACACACACACACACACACACACACAGACAATCAACTGATATTCTTTAATAAGAAAAGTGTCTGTGACCTCTACAGGGAAATCAGTGTGTCCTCACACTCTCAGAGATGCAGGCAATCTCTGTTTATTAAACACCTCCATGAAAAGAGTTTCTCACCTCCGCAATGGAATCCACCTCCTTCTTGCCGTACCACTCCGGCTCATACATGTCAGCCAAACACCCCTGCACGTTTTTGGAGGACTCGTGCATGGCTGAGGAGATACACATACATTAGTGGAACACCTGTGTATTTGTTCCTCTTCTATTGTGTGTTTATATGTACAGCATGCAAGTACATGGTTGTGTGTGTCACCTTTTACTGCTTCCAGGTATGCCCTTAGGTCCCTTTGCAGTTTGCTGCCTTCAGTCTTAGGGTGAAACACAAAACATGGGGCTCAGAACACAAAACATCCCAGTGAGGAGACACATTCTCTAACGGTTAGCTACATCATTTAAAATCAGCAAACGCTAACCTGTTATACCAAATGCTAAATTCAGTTGGCATAATATTAATAATTATATTTGGACAGCAGCTTTATTGATTTCCAGGCAAATGTACATTATAGCTCCATACTAAAAAGTACCATTCATTGGACTGTACTCACATATTGTTTGTTGAAGTTGATCACTTCTTCCTCAAAAGCAATATCTTTGGTCTCATCAGCTTTGCCAAGCTTCTGAAGAACCTGTCAGTCAAACCCATGATAACATTAATGACAATACTGAGGGTAAGGTTAGCAATTTATACTAAACATTCATCAGATTTCCTGTCTTGATCTCTCAATGTTTTCAACCGTAATATACATGTCTCTTTTATTGTACGCGCAATGGGAACACAAGATAAACAAATACTGTTTAATCTTCTAAAAGGTAAGCAGAAATAAGTCACATTGTCAGTATATCATGTATAGAAGCATGCCTTATACCACATCACGTCACATCTTGTTAATTCAATGGCATTCACACATTGTTAACGCACACTGGGTTTACAGGGGCATCATTATCGGTTTGCTCTCTGCCTGTCTCTATTTAACCCTACAGCAAATGATGCATTATGATAGAATAGCGCCCCCTGCCCTTTATTCCGAAAACAACGCGCAGGTGCATGAACGCATTGACTAGGCCTCACATCTGCCATCTATACAGAACGTATTGCAGCATGGGTAATACGCTACCCATCATCGTACTGCTAGAAAAACGAAAGACAGTGTTTCTGCAGCCACCATCTCTGTGACAAGCTGTCAATGAAATACCCAAAGGATTTAAAATGCCTGAAACCTTCCAGTTATGTGCTAAATTATGAGCAGGGTTATATAGTATATCTCGCTGCAATATGCACGTGCCCGCTGCATGACATTGAGTTCAGAAACGATGTGTTTAAAGAGGATATCCCCATCCCCAAATACAGCATCCCTGCTCCTATGAGGATGTCGTGATGCGACACTGCGCCTCGGTGGAGGATGCGGCACTGCTGCTTCGCGGCTTGTAGGCCTGCATTGTAATTCCCTATACATTTACACATTAGTGAGCACGTCTTACCTTTTCTTGGGCTCTCGTCAGTTTTTTCTGAACGTTGCTGGCCACTTTCCCTGCGGTCAGCCCCTTCCCCAAATTCAACTCAGCCATCTTATAGCGTAGATCTTTCTTTGGATGCGGGAAGGAAGGAAATAAGAGCAATAACGATCGGATGGACCGCTACGGCGACCGTTGAGGCAAATTCATCAATGTCCAGTGGAGAAATATTTGGTGATAAATGTAATTATGGGATGTTATGATTGTATCTCTAGGAGGATGTGGATGCAGAAAGCTAAGCTGTATTCTCAAATGTTGAGCTGCTGTGTGCGCGTCCGTGACAGAAGAGGATGCTGTCAGAGATGCTCTTAAAGGCACAGATGCTGCTGCGCGTCCACAAGGGGAAGATAAACGAGACTACGAGCTACATTATGAGCACAATCTGCTGTTTTCAATATTATTTTACAATTTCCACAAACAAATATATATTTGTTGATCTTTGAAATGTAGTGGTTTTTTACCTTGAAGATTGCTTGAATACATATGATCATTTAGTCTTTCATTGATCAATGAATCCATGTTTAATACATACCAGCAGTCACAGTGTACAGTATAGCCAAAAACGCATTGTAAAAATAATAAGAAATCAGACCTTCTAGACAACTGTCTATTAACGTTTCACAGGTCCAACTGTCCTAATATGATATTATATCGTTACATAACACATGCAGTGACATGGACCTTTAAGAGTAGGATATTTCACTATAAAAGGAAGGTCAGAAATCAAGTGAATCATCAAGTAATCACTCCTAGACACTAAGAAAAACAAATGTAGGTTTCGAGAATTAAGTTTATTGTTTTTTTTCCTGCAGCTGTTAATGTATGGAGCTATTTCAGGGTCATAAGCTTTAATCATTCAAAAAAATACAATTTATTTGAAAGTCCAAGTTTTCATCCTGAACTTTGAAAAATACAATGTTGTATTCAAAACAAAAAAAAGTATTTGAAACAATTTTTCAGGTTGAATATTATTTTGATTCAGTTCAGCAATTTTCTTTAATAAAATATTTATTTTCATATTTGACTTTTATACATATTTTCATATTTGAATACTTGTTTTTTTCAGTTTTAGATTTTACGTTTTCAGATTCCAAACAATTATTTTTTCGGTTTCAAATCTTTTTTTTTCAGGTTTCAATCTTTTTTTCGCCTTCAGATCGTTTTTCACTTTCAGATCTTTTTTTTTCGCTTTCAGATCTTTTTTTTTCGCTTTCAGACTTTTGACCCTGATATTGCTTCGGGGGTCGGGGCTTAGCAAAGAGTAGTTTGGCTCCCTGAGTGGGTGACAGGCCTCCCTCTGTCATGATGCCTTCATGGATGTTAGGTAGCGCAATAAATACAACTACACACTTTCTATACACAATACTCCCGTGATTGGTGGTAAACAAAACTGATACCAGCATCAAAGTTCCGTTAAGCGAGCTGTTGAGCATCGTAGTTGGCAACAATCAAGGTATAAGAGCAATAAACTGTGCTAGAATCTGAAATCACGTATCCGCAATCAAGCGTTGTCCTTCCCCACTTCCACGTAGCTCCATGAACGCAGCATAGTATTGGCTTGGTTTTTGCGATCAGAATCTGAATAGGCTACCTTTATTAGTCCCACGGATACATTTACATTGTTACAGCAGACAAGAGCCAAATACAGCTTAATGTTACCTAAAGCATGCATACAAAAAGTATTAAAGATTAAAAAAAGAAATTATATAGCCTATATTTTTTAAGTTACACATTTTACATAATACACACCCTGTGACAGTCCTGTGGATTTAGCAGCCAGGTATATATTGCAGTTTTTAACGGCATATATATATTGCACATACTGCAAATATTGCACATAGTTGGTATTTATCAACAAGAGGTGTTATAGTCTGTGTTGTTTTGTGCGGGGTCTACTAGGGGCTGTGCTGGTGTATAGTCTGACCGCTGCAGGAAGGAAGGACCTGCGGTATCTCTCCGTGAGACAGCGGGGGATGGCGTCAGGTCCACCAGAACAACCTGCTGGCTCGTTGCGAATACGTAATTTCACATTCTAACACAGTTTATTTGTACTTGATTGTTGCCAACTACGATGCTCAACAGCTCGCTTAACGGAACTTTGACGCTGGTCTCAGTTTTCTAACATCCATGAAGGCAACATGACAGAGGGAGGCCTGTCACTCAGGATGCCAAACTACTCTTTGGTAAGCCCCGCCCCCCCCAAGCAATATCAGGGCCAAAAGTTTGAAAGCGAAAAAAAAAGATCTAAAAGCGAAAAAAAAGATCTGAAAGTGAAAAACGATCTGAAGGTGAAAAGCAATGTGAAACCTGAAAAAACAAGATTTGAAACTGAAAAAATAATTGTTTTGAATCTGAAAACGAAAAATCTGTGCTGAAAAAAATAAGGATTCAAAGTGAAATCTGAAAATAAATATATTATTCAAAAAAATTGCTGAACTGAATCAAAATCATATTCAACCTGAACAATTATTGAAACACTTTTTTTTGTTGTTTGAATAAATCTTTGTATTTTTCAAAGTTCAGGATAAAAACATGAACTTTCAAATAAATTGTGAGTCAGTAGTTTTCCGCCTTGGCTTTAAGTGTAAAGATTTACTGCGGCAAACCCTTAGCTTTACAACCTTGGCGCACGCTTGGCCTTGGCGCAAGAGACCATGGGGTTGGGATGAGTGCCTCACGGGATAAAAGCCCTGTGAAAAAAGTGAAAAGGGGGATAAAATTGGGCGCCAAAACTAATAAATAATAAAAAGCCGATAAAGTGGGGCCCAAAGATGGCCCCTGTGACCGGGGACCAGAGCCCACGGAGGGGTGCCCGGACGACACGTCGGGGGGGGTGAGTAGGTATATAATTGCCTACCAACTGGTACCCGTAAAAAGAGGAGAGGAAGAGTGACTAGCTTACCGTTTGCGCTGGGTGACCAGCCCTCCCGGAGGCGCGACCGGGCCGGATCACCGGCGCACGAGAACGCCAGCCAAGGAGGCTGACGCCCCCAAAGCTGAGACTACCAGCCCCCCACACGGAACGGCAACCACCCCTGAAGTGAGACGCACGAGAGAAGGAAGGGCCCGGCCAATACCTCGATAACGTCCGCAGTAATTCAAACTGTAAAA